GTGCAGCCCCAAAGAGCATTTAAATGAGCTGAGCACAAGTTTTGATTGGCTCGCCAAAAGATTTATCTGCGCGCTCTTAAAGCAACTGAGGCCAGAAATTCAAATACCTCAGATCTTAGACAATGTCAGAGGGCAATGCATAAAAATGCCCCAAATACTCTACCGGAATCCAGAAGAGACACATGTCTGAGTCTATGCGCATAGAAGTAGCTCGGTGTTGGTGGGGGGGCGTGGCACACACGCGCGACACAGGCATTGTCGATATGCTCATTTAAAATAATTTATTGCAATGAGCTGACACTCATTGCCAGTTAAAAGTGGCATGCCACTCTGACACTTGCCACACACGCACACACACACACACACACACCCATCTGTACGCATTTAAAAATAAAAATAAATACTTATCGAGTGGCAGCGGCAAAGATAAATTGCGCAAAATAGAAAAATGCTCTAATTAAAATTATGCACAAATATTTTGGGAATTCGTTTAGCCATGCGACACAAGTCGCAAGCAACATGGAAATCTTGAAAGACTTTGAGATTTGGAAATCTCTTCTGCTGCTGCCTGTGCTGCTGCTGTCTCTGCTGCTGCTGGTGCTGCGTTCTTATTGATGGCGTGCCAATTAAAATTGATTGGAAATTCCTTGCATGCCACGCACGTGGGCGGCGGCAACATCGTTTGCTAAGCAGCTGCCCCAAAGGAGTCCTGTTGCTCGGCAAAATACCAGCTGCATGCCGGATTCATGCATTAGCATAAATAAAACACAGAGAGAATGACGATGGAAGTCTGCACTTTAAGCATGTAGTCGAAATTTCTTAATCTGATTGACAAATTCACATTTCAGAGATACTTTTTGATATTGCACGAATCGTGAATATATATGAGATAAACCGATAAACAAACATGTTGGGCATTTTTTTTTAAAAGGATTTCTACCTATTTTTAGCCAGCAACAATCTATAATATCCAATCTATAATATAACTCTGGTATTATTTTATTTTAACTTATTTTCTAGTTTTTCTTCTTATTTAATGTTAAGTATTGATATTTTTTTTTAAAAAGTTTGTCCTGCCTGACTTAGGCGCAGCTCAAGCCGCAAGAGCTAGGAAGATGCTACTTCACCGAAACTTCTTTTGTGAGTCGCACGTAAGCCATTGGGAGCGGGTGTTGAAAACTTCGCTAAACTCCTCTTGTAATATATATAATGGTAAATGACAAGAATGCTATGTACTTTTTCTCCGAGTGTATCCGATATGAAGACAGCTTTTGAAGTCGTTCATCACAAGGCCTGACCATTTCGGTTGACTTCATTTGAAACTCATTTCGCGTTTGTCAATTAACACTTTTGTTAAGTAAGCTATAAAAACTGGAATTGGCAACAATTGAAATCGAAGCAGATGTCTAAAGACGCGCATTTAACCCTCATTTCTGTTAATGTAGCAAATAAAACGGTCCACCTTAATGGATTTCTGTTACGCGGTCTAACTTCAAATTGGACAGAAGGTGACGTCCAAATCCTCATCCATGCTTAGAGCCCACTTGCCGCATGCACACGCTGTGCAGCTGATTGTCCTTGAATCGTTGCCCGTTGCCACTTAATCCAATCGCGCACATGTTGAGCTCTAACAATGAGCGCCGCCTCTGGCCGGCGACTGCCTCTGCCACTGCCACCCCCTCGTGGCAGGGTTGTGCGTGCGTGGTGTGTACCTTAAGCGGCTTTCACCTTGACGTCGCAACGCTGCAACCACCACAAAATGCACCACTGCTGCCTTGGGCTTGATTTTCGCACCAGTGTGCCGCAAAGAGGGGTTGACTAAAAGTCGGCCAGGACCAACTGTTGTGAAATTTGTACGTGTGTTTTTGTGCTTTGCCAGACTTATCACACACACGCACGGGCGCACGACTTCACCGACTGAGAGGAGTGTGGGGTGGATCACCTTGCGGGGTGTTGACTTTGCCTCAGTCTGACGCATTATGATGTATTCGAATTAAAATTGAAAGCACTGTCCGTCAGCATTTGACATGCAGTCAGAGAAGCCAGCACCCAATCCAGACTCACACCCTCATCCTGTGCCTGCTCAGGTTGCCATTAATGAAGCCTTTGTCAGCTGGGTCGCTGCGCAGACAGGCTCGCCTAATTAATCCTGCAACAAAATAGCACAGCAATTGGAGCGAAAAGCCGTATATGTCGCTCTCTCTATCTCGCTCTCTCACGCTCTCTCTGTCTGCTGGTGCCGCTCGTAAAGTAAGCCACAAAGATGCGCAACAAATTACGCAGCACTTGGAGGCGCAACCAAGTGACGAGAGGCAACATCTGCCTGCGCCTTTGCCGTCGCCTTTTGACTGGCATTAACTAAAGACCGCCACTTGACTCAAGTTGTGTAAAAATTAAACAAAATATGGTGCCCCGAAAAGAAAACAAAACTTGCCGCACCAAATGAAACATCATTCAGCTGTCAAAATCATTAAGATATGTGAAATCGCTTAAATATGGCCGCAAGACATTGCGACAGCCCCAGCTAAACTCAGCTTTTTGGGGGTACTCGCAAAAAATGAAAGGAAAACAAGAAAGAACAGCTATCTTTGCCAGGCCGAAAATTAAATACCCTTCAAATACCAGCAGCTTCCGACCGATTGTTTCTATGGAAACCTATTATGCGGCCTACTACCCCGACTTAATGCAGTTTTTCAGAAAGATGGGAGATAGGTGGGAGAATAGCGATCATCGCAATTGCTAAGATTCTTCAATGTATCCCATATAACACACAAGTTTCATAAGCGAAAATTATTATTATAAACGATTCTTTATATAGATCTTAATAATATATGTTTGTTAATTAGATTAGCTCTATCGACTCGGCTCTAGAAATATGTACTCTTTATATAATCGGAATAGTCTTTGTCTATGCATCACACATTTCGTGTTAAATTAATAATACGCGAAATTTATTATACTCTTTGAAAGGGTATATAAATTCGAACATATGTAGAGACTTAAACAGCCACATGGCAACTCAACTCAACCAACCCATAAACAACAGAAATTTAATTTTTTTTTTTTGTAAATTCAAATTAAAGCCTGTCTCATTTTGGAGAACTCGACGGCTTCATTTGCCACACGTTTTCTTCGCAGTGCCAAACATTTTTATTACAAATTCGTGAGTTTTGCTCTGAATGGCAGCTCGACGAGGCTGGCTTGCGCTTATGTTTTTCGATACCCCTGCTCAAAGCGGAACTTAAGTGTAAAGGCATAACTCAAAGATCTGAGAATTTGCAGATGGAAAATTAGGGAAATATGCGCAAAAAAAAAGGCTTGCAACTACAGAAAAACAAATTTATTAATAACGATCCGCAGAGTTGTTAGCAGTTTGAATGGATCAGGAAATGTCTGAAATCTTTGCTTCTTGCAAAACCGTGTCATTTTACATTATCTGCAGACATCTTACTGGCCAAATTTGATCAAGACAATACACTTTTAGAGCTTTCTGCTTTGCTTTAACTTGTTCTATCCAAGATGTGTTACGTTCTCTCTATTTTACTACTAAATAAAGGCAAGTCAGTTGTGCATACTAAAGTATTTTTAGACATTCAGAATTTATAAATAGATTAGGGTATAGTACGGTCATGCAATCTGTAAACTCTAGACTCGCAGTTGCCAACTGGCTAGCTAGTTGTTTAATTTTTTATTTTTTCCTAATATTGTGCAAGCGTAGAGCAATAAAAATGCCCGAACACTCCAAAAACTATTTCGCTGCGGGGCTGTCGTATAGCCTCCCCGATTGGGCAGCTGTCGCAGCTCGGCTGTGCGGGCTGTGCGTATGCCATACGATACGCCCATCATTGACGATTGTCTTAAGAGAGGCATTCAAATTTCGGTGCGTTTATTGAAATATGAACAGCGACGACGACGCTGGCGATAAAAGTGGCAGAGCGAACCAAATTTTCATATAAAGTACCTTTTGTTGGCATTTTAATGGTGCGCTTTATGGAAGGATTAAGCACATAAACTTGTCAATAACTCGAGTGCCGGAGAGTATGTGCGAGCGAAGTACGAACCGTATTCCATATCCACTTCTTAATAATGTCACCGCAGACGCTTTGACTTACAAACACACAACTCACACACAACTCAGACACAACACACGCACACACACCGAACGAGCCATCTTATTTATGAGCTCAACATGAAATTACTGCCGCATATGGTGAACCCAAGAGTTGAGCGACTTATTAAGTACAAAAACAAGAGAAGAACACATTATTGATATTCGACGGTGGGGCCATGGGCCAAATACTCATAAGTACTCAATGTGAATAGATGGGGGAAAGGCGAAATCTATCTGTTTTCCATATGTAAAGTGTACTCAATGATTTTTATAGATACGATATAAATATAATTATGTTCTGATTATGATTATGATATTATGACAGCGATAAACAACGCATTGACAATAATCCTTGAGTTAGCTCACATGATAGTTAAAAAACACTTGTAAATTTGGTATTATATGATTTATCATATTCGTGTATTTATACACATGGGATACTAAGGATTTTAAGCATTTTTAATATAATAAATTAATCTATATATAGAAATCTTTATTTTTACTGATTGATTGACTGACTGACTGACTGACTGATTGGTTATCAACACACTGCACAGGGTTTTCGAATTTTCCACCCGTATAGAATTTGAAAAATGATAAAAAATACAGTTATATGTATGTGTAGATGATGCATGAATGTGTGAAGTTATGTACATAGATATACATGTTAAGCCTAGACCAAGTTTACTTTTTGCTGTTTTACAAATTGTAAAGGAAACGTATTTGGAGATTTTTCTCTATTTTGCGATTATCATAAATTTAAGTATGCCTTCTGCGCTTTCTCTGTCTCTCTTTCTCTCTCTCTCTCTTGCACTCTGTCTCATTTTAGTTCTCTTTCTTTCTGCATCCTGCTCTTATTCTAACCCGATCTCTTTTCCTTTTAATCCAGTGAGGATGAAAATCTTTCTCCTTTCTCCTACTAAAAGATGGCAATCAAATAATTGTGCGTATGTGTATTTTTGGGTAAGTGCGTATTACAAAATTATATTTATACATAAATATGAACATGCTAATATATGTATGCCAGTTTTAACGTATTTATAAAAATAATGTAAAAACGTCCTAATATTTTAATTCTAATATATTCAAAAACTTTTTTTTTACTCTGAATACATTAGATACACTTATTAAAGAAAGTTTATTCTTCAAAATCAATTTCGGTCATATGAATGCTTTTATTCAATGCCGATATTTCTTATGTTTAAAAATCTATCAGATATTAAATCAAAATATCCTTACCTTACGTTAAACAACATAGAAAAATCTATTAATTTTGTGACCTTTGGAAAATTCCACATATTTTCACTCTGCAAACATCCGCTCCAGGAAGACGCTATTTAGCAAAGCTCTTAGGTTCTCGATATATATATAGATTTTTTTTTTTTGGTGCCATACAAAGTGGAGGCAAGCAAATTGCAAGCCATCCAGAAGATTACATGCCCCGCGGCAATTATTTTACGATGCACAAAGGTATTGTTAAAAGGCGGGGAAGCCAAAAGAGATAGAGGCAGGCATCAGCCGGCACAGAATAAACAGGCAAACAAGCCAAACAGCCAAGCAAAGTCAAATATGTTGAAATGCGGCCAGCCAGGATGCGGATGAGATTGGAACAGGATGAGCGGATGAACGGGCGAACGGGCGAAGAGCGAATGGCAAATGGGGAGCGCAGTCAAGAGCTTGCCGCAGTTCAATATGCAGCGGCAGGCAATATTAAAATATCTTAAGGATATTATGTTATTACGCACACATTACACAACGGACCGGCGTAGAGGGTTCTCGGGTAGGGGGCAGGGGGGTAGGATGGCAGCCGGCAACTCCACTCAAATGAGATAATTCCCTGTAAAATAATAATAATAAAATAAGCAGCAGGCGACGGGCAGGGCAAGACCTAACCCCCCCAACCCTCGCACAATTTTTATGATATTCATATTTTCGCATGCCGCCCCGCCCCCTGGCCAATTTTAAGTGCTTTTCAATATGAGCAAAATGCATTTAAGGTATCTCAGCTACGGCGAGGTCCACGTTTTGTTTGCCCACGCTGGGATTTGTGTAGCCGCCGGCCATCTAGTGGGACGGTGGGCTGAAGTTGGGGGGCGTGCCAGTGGTTGCTTGGCGCATAAGTTAAGGGATTTTCGTCTTAAAACAAAACACACAATCCGGTGCTGCAGGGTTGCCAAAGCTGTCGACTCGGCAGAAAATGGCGTACAATTTTTAGTTTTGATCTAAATGCGTCAATAAATTGTAACACTTTCAGTTGGTCGACAGAAACAAAAGTCATTTCGTGCTAACAATAAAAAAGCCGCCAAGTTAGCTTTCTTACTCATTTTGTTATACCCTGTAATCATTGAGTATGCACAAAACGGATACACTTACATTGTGCCTATGTGTGTGACAGAGAATAGCAAATATCATCGGTGATTTAAAGTTATCATACTCTTGGCAAGGTAGACTTTGTAGCCATTTTTCTTCGAAAGTTCGTTTGATCGTTTAATCTAAAGGTATAATTATTCACCTCATTTTTTAAGGGTAACTTCATAAATGTCTATGAGTATAACACAAGGGTTTGCCAAATATGATGTGAGTAAGATCTTCGACATGTTTCCCTACATTAAAATCGATAAATATCGAGGTCTTATACCAATTTTTAATGTAGATATACAATGTGAATTATAAGTTAATCTAACCAAATGCAGCAAAATGGGAGGAACAATAATACCCTATTTACAAACCGATAAATATCGATATTCTACCCTTTTTGGCAGTTTATTCGATTACACACATGCTCTGACATGTGTGCACAGGGTACTTTTTAGTCTAGCACTTCTTATTGGAACGCTTTATGCTCTGACTATGTTTTTTTTTTGGTTTTTGCCACCTCAGCAAGTTTGTCAGAGTTCTAGTCTTAGTCTTGGCCTTATCAATGGGCTCGTTTTAAAATCAACGCCCGCTTATTTACGAGTTGTATCCCGTTCGGTACTCGCTCGCCAGGGCTTTGTCTAAGTTTCTCATTTCATTTATGGCTGCGAATGAGCTCGAAACTTATCGCCCGATGCGCATCTGCCCAGCCATTCCAGAGATGGAGACGGAGATGGAGCTGGAGTTGGCGATGGAGGTTCAGGGACTGAGTCAGTTGGTCGCTTGGTCGCTGTAACAATAAAAGGTTTTTATGCGCTCCAGGGATAAGCCGAGCCCAGCCAAGTGACGTATCAGCAGTAGCTACACGGCAAAGAGTTCTCAGTTGCCGGCAATCCAGCGGACATGGCAGCTGTCTCGCTCTTATGTGGCACGCTTCTTGCCGTCTCGTTCAGTGTGCTGCGTTGCAAATTTATTGTTACTGATAAACGTTAATAAATTAATTAGAATTATTGAAATGCGTGGCCTGCTACTGGCTGCTGCTGCGGCTGCTGCATTCAGGGCTCTAGGTCCTGTGCCTGTGCCTGTTTGCGTGCTTCCTGCTGCACAGCTCCAAAATGCAAACACAGTCATGGACGCCATTATGCGCTGATTTGTGTTGCATGCTTTGTGGCACACAGTTGCTGTTGCTGCTGCAGTTGCATTTGCAGTTGCAGTCACAGTTGACACTGCACAACTGCCACACGCACGCACTTTGAATTAGTTTGTTTGAACTCGACGCTTATCTCAAGTAGTAGATTTTCGGCATTTTGTAGCCATTTTTGAATGCCTCGTCGGGCACGCAACGCATTCGGCCATTTGCATTTGCATTTTGCCAAAACGGCCCAAAAACGATTGCGACACTTTTATCAATAAAATTTACGCAACGCATTAGAATATTGAAAATATGATATAATATGCGCCACTTACAAAATGTTGCTTAAATTTCTTCCGTTCAGTTTTTGCTGCCAGACTTTGCCAACAAATTAAATGTCCAGGTCTATGGGTTTTGGTCACCTTTTCTAGTCAGACGCAAGGATAAACTTGTCTTGTTATATCATTTTATGCGAAGGGTATTTTGAGATTCCTATGAAGTATGTCACGCTTCGAATAAGGCATATTTAATCCCATAATTAATTAATTGTATTTGTAGAAGGGCTTTCGTAGTACTGATCGACCTTCATTTAAATCTCCTTGGAAACAAAATATATATTCAGAAAGCAAAATATCTCCAGAGTCTTAGAGTTTTATGACTTGCTTAAAATAAACATAGCTTGGAGGTCCAATAGAGATCTGCGCCCAAGAGAGCTGTTCGTTATAAGAGCTCTCACTGTATCACTCGGACGTATAGCAAAACATATGATACCTAAGCCAGGGTATTTAGTAAGTCGCCAATCGAAGGTTAGCTGTTTTTTTCATGTTTTTTAATGCCATTAAAAGTTTTTGCTCGCTTTTAGCCAAAGTTTTCAGCACTAAGGTGCCTTTTTTTATTGGCCGCCAGTATCCAGACGTGTTCGCCCCGCAGGAATTTGGCTCAAGGTGGCGTAAAAAACGGATCAAAAAAAATAAAGTACAAGTCAAGAAAAAAACGGAAAATAAAAAATTGAATAAAACTTTTTTAGCGCACAAATGTTTTGCTGCTAATTGAAAATATCTGTTGGGTTCAATTAGACGGCGACTTTTGGCGACGTCGGTCGCACCGTGCGGCAACTTAAGCGCTGCCCACACAATCGCCGCAGCCAGAAACTTTGCCAGTGTTGGGCAATGGCAAAGTAAAGAAAAAAAAAGAAAATACGCTGATTTAAGCACTTTTTGCAAACATTTTTTAGGTTGTGTGTGGCTGACTTGCCGGCTTGTTGAGGTTGACCGGGCCAGGGCTGGTAACTGATAGATCGCTTGATACGATTCGATACGATTGTTAGTGCAAATTAAAAAGTTTCCAAAACTTGTGGCATACAAATGAGTTGCAGCATACCTGCAGCCAAAGTTCCTGCCAAACTAACAGCTTACCAATCAGAAACTGAAAACTTTTTGTGCGAAACTTACGATTTCGTAACTTATTTTGGGTATGTTTAAAGAAAATCATTAAGAAAATAAATATACATATAACTTTATTATTAAAATTTAATTGTCATTATTTTAAGATATAATCTAATTGGAATGGAAGCCTACAGATTATATTGCTTAAGCTACGTAATGCTTGAGCAGAAGCCAATTTTTAATGTAGCGCAGACTTACGGCTAGCAACAACTTTTAAATCGTTAAGTGTCTGGAACCATTTGAGATTCAGCCTACTGTTAGAGTTCTTCTTGTGATGATGCTGCAAAAGTTCCTGATAAACTTATAGCTTACCAATAACAAATTGGAAACTTTAAAATCGGAATGTACAATTGTTTAACTTTATTTTGTATAACCCAATTAAAGATAGGACGAATCAATTATGAATCAATATATAATAATTGAAAATATAGAATATTATTATAACTAAATAAATACTTAATATTGTTAGATATCATAGCCCATAATTCCTATAATCCTATCGGGATACCCTTGACAAGAAATCAATTTCTAATGTAAGCCTGATTTAGTGCTAGCACTATTACCTCGACTGACTAACCATGCTCTAAAAGGTCTGAAAGTATTGCCGATTCGATTCAGCTTTATGCCTCAAACAACTCCAATTAAAGAGCCCCGTTGTTAGTATAACTATTCCCCAGCCAGAGTCAATTAATCTCTGCTGCCCAACTATGTTTGCCGTAACTAATGAATCACCGAACATTAAGCTCACATGTTTACCGAGCTGCCCCTGATAATAGGTAAGGTACATATATAATTAAACAAAATCAACCATCAGTTGATGCTGAACACAAATTGTCAATTAAAAGGTATTTAAGCATAATACCCAGGTCACGGCCTCGCCAAGCGTTTAATCCACGTAAATTAGTGCAAAAATCAAGTGGATGCGATACCTTTGGCCGCCATTTGCTGGCTTGTGCCGACAGCGCCACAGTCCACATGACCGGCACCTGCCCCTGGCCATGCCCTGATCCCAAAATGCGCATGCCCATCCCTCGTGGCGGCACACGGTAAACACGGCGTTGGCGGCAACCGACACCAATAAAGCCAACAAAGCGTTTTTAGGGTTAAGTCCATGTCAAAGTGTCAGTTTAGTATCGGTATCATGTCATGTTGTTCCACAGATTGCCAGTGCGTGTGTTTGTGTGTGTGTGTGTGTGTTCGGGTGGGGGGAGGCAAGTGTGCGTGGCATGGGGTTTTAATTTCGTGTGCGGCAACATGATGCCAAACGTGTGGCAGTCGCCCCCAACCTGAGCCTCGGTCTGTGCGTTGAGGTGCAACGTTTTACTAATGAATTTAACAAGGATTTGCCTTGTCTGGACAGCAGGGGCAAGTTGCATGCTGCACGTTGCATACTCATTAAAATGTCAGTGCAAATGGAGTTGGAGTTGGAACTGAAACTGTTGCCCTAGACCTGGCATCAGCTGCACTTTGTTGCCGTTCTGTTTATCCTGCCAACATATTTTTCAAATGTTTCGTTTTGCATAAGTGAAAGGCCAAAAAGGAAGATAACGGCGGACAGCCCCAAACGCCAGGGCCATGTGGCCATGTGGCCAGGACACACGACATTGGCGTCAACAACAACAACAACAACAGCAGCAACAACAACAGCAACAACAACAATGGCGCGCAAATTTACGGCTCACCTACGCGACTAGAAGCTGTAAAGATGGAAAAATCTTTGGGGTTTGAGCTGGACAGCTGCCTCGCCTACACACACACATGCACGTGTGGGTCTATGAATGTGTGTGTGTGCTATCTGCGTATATGTGCGGCTTATTTAAATTTGTTTTTATGCGCCATGGCGCAGCCAGTGGCTGGGCAGCTTCTCCACATTCAGGTTTGCTGTTAATCCAATAAAATTGCGTAATTAAATTTGTGCATCATTTGGCGTTTGTCATGAACAACGTTGACGTTGTTGTTTTTGTTGTTGTTGCCACTGTTTGTTGTGGTGACAAATTTAAAACCTGTTGTCATTGCCATGTGGGGGGTGGCAGCAGCAGCAGCAGTAGTCGCCACCGCTAAGGCAACCCTTCAACAAATCGCAGTGAAAAAATGGTTGTACACGTCGTAATTTTTCAATTGTTGCATAATTGAAGGCAACCAGCGCACACGGCGCAGGACAATGCCTCACGTGCCGCAGCTGCAAAGTATGCTGCACAGTATGGAGGCTAAAAAAAGTTCCCACAAAAAATGAACAAAAATATTGGCAGCCAATGGCAAATTGTCGAAGGATTGAAAGGTCCTCGGTGCTGGTGCAAATATCGAGGTGTGGACATTGACTGCTTGTTGATGTGTGGCTGTGCTTCATTTTTTTCTCTTTTCGGAGGGGTGTGAGGCATGTGCCACACAAGGGAATTATGTTTGACGTTGACTAGCAATTGTGTGGCACGCAGTGGAAAAAACGCTTTTTAATTGTTGAGTGTTTTGCGTTTAACCGCAGCACAAAAATTATGCAGGCGTTTGTCTGATAAATTCGACTCGACGCAATTCAGAAATTGATAAACGCAAGACGAGTAACTGCGCCACACGTTGCACGCAGTTTCCGCAGGAAGTGTCTGTATGTGTGTGAGAGTGAGTGTTGGTGTGTGTGTGTCGATACAAGCGACCAGATAACACGCTCGCAGACGTTGAGATGCAATTGCCGCCAAGCTGACTCAAAAGGCCGCTGACTTTTCAGCAATGCGATAAAGTTTTTCCCTTTTCTTCGGTTATTTCTTTTTTTTTGCGCCCACAGTTGCAACGTGCGGCAACATGAAAAACGGCAACTCAAGTGCGCAGCAATCTAAACGAGGCATAGTTTTAACTACTGCTCGCAGCAGGCTTCCAAGTTCCAAGTGCCAAGCACAGCCCGTCACTTTTTCGCTTATCAGCCGCCGTCCGATGAGTCTTCTATGTTCCCTGCCCCAGCCCCAGCCGCAGCCCCTCCCTGCCCCTAGCGCTGCCCCTGGTAGCCCGCTTTGAGCATTTGCGTGTGCTCGTTTCGCAGCTTCATTCAATCAGCGCGTCTGTTGGATAGAAAACCGCTACGAAATCTTTTCCTTTTTTTTTTTTAAATATGAAATGTTTCCTGATAAGCGAAACTGCGTCAAACGACAGCGTTGCTTGTGGCATCTATTTGTTTTTGGCTTTTTTCAATACCCTGTAACAAAAATGGGTTAAATGGAGGTATCATAAAGTTGAGTTTATGCATTTCAATGCAGATTATTCGATATAGGTTATCGTGGCAGTTGCCTCTTTCTATATATATTTAGACGAAATACACAGGCTACATGCATATCAAAATGATTGCATACATATTAATATAAGCAATACATTATTCCATTATTGTATATGTAGCATCTGGGACCGAATCCCAGGCGTATAGAGATAAAGTGTAGTCTGGGCTAGCTCGTAACTTTATCTAATATTCAGATAAAAAGAATAATAATTAAATACTTAATTATAGTAAAACAAAAATAATAATAGACGCAAAAATGATCACTACCAATATTAATATATATAATATATACTTTTCACTTCACTTTTTTTGTCCATATTTTCGAGGTCTTGGGCTCGATAGTAGGCTATCTATCTATAAGATGAAATGACTACATATCATTTGGGTTTGATGGTGGCAGTCTATCTATAAGATAGTAAGTAGTCTATCTTTAAGATTAAATAATATGTAGTCATTTAGTTTAACAAATAGGACCAAAACCTCACATAACACAACCTTGATAAGCAAATGTTTCGGACTCTCAGCTAAATACCCTATGCAATCGGAAAATAAATACACCAAGTTTTGGGACACTCAAGACGTGGGTACAGGGTATCCATAGTCGTGGTATTCCTTAATAGTTAATTTCTTACTTATTTTTTGCTAGTTTTTTGGATGATTAAAACGGATACGTTTTCGTATATGTGATGAAATGTAATTTAGCACATTTCTGGGAAATGTGACAAAATTGAGGAACTCTGAAAAGCTGTCGCCCGCTGCGGCCAACGCATTCGCAGTCGCAGTCGCAGTCAAAATCGCTTTTGCTTTTGATTTTGCTTTGACTTTGGCTTTAATTAAAAAGTTGCGCTTTGTGCCAGGCGACAGCCAGCAGCATTCAGATTCATATGCATATTCAGATTTTTATATCGCGCCTTATGTTATTAAAATACGAGTAATTTTGTAGTTGTTGTTGTAGTTGTTATGATTACTTAAAGCTGGAGCAACTCGCAGCAGCAACAGCAGCTGCTGCTGTTGGTCAAGTAAACCGAAAAGCAAATGCACTGAGCAATATTAGTATGTGAAAGATATTAACAGCATACTTGGCATTACAATATGGCCATATAAGACGTTGGCCAATGCCAGGCAAGCAACAGGAAACAATTTTTCATAGAATTCCAGTCTTTATTAGCCGCCCACTCTATACAAATGAGGAGCAACAAGAACAACAACAGCAGAGCGAATACTCGTTATGGCTATGACTATGCAGCAGAGTCCTCTGTGGCATGCTTGCATTTTTGCTTAGCGAGTGCCTTGGCCAGGACCGGGACCAGGACATGCTCTGGCATGTCTCATAAGACAATATAAAGTATGACAGCCATTTGGCAACACTTTGCAGGCCGTTAGCAGCGTCACCAAAACCTCCTTCGGGCCAAGAGCAGCCAAGCCGAGGCCAAGATAACTTTTTAAATTGTTAATGTGCGCGCTCAGACAAAAGAGCTGTCATAATTCGCAGCAAAATATTGTCACCAACTTATGTGCAAGGACTTACATGATGCCAATTTACAACGCCTGGCAACACATTAGCCATTATGGCCATTTTAGCCAGTCTTGGCTTGCCTTTGGCCGGAAGTGCGCGCCATTTTCTAATATTGTAACGGATGTAATTAATATGTGCAATGAATGTGGCAACTCTTCAACAATTGGCCCTATGGTTATGCCCCTTATGGCCATATAATGAGAGATAATCACCGACTTGGAGAATTATCAGCATCTCAAACAAATGTCTTCGAAGAGGGAAATGAAAAAAAATAATGTCTAACAACCAATTAGAATATACTCTTCCGGATCTTCAAACTTCCTTTACTTTAGCAAAACTTAAGTGATATTTATGATTTATGCCATTTTGGTCTTGATTTCTCCTGTACTTTGTTTTTGCATTCAACATTTTTATTATTTGGCCGATTCTTGATAAAACAAATAAAGAGAAAACCAAAAATATGCATCTCGAATTCTCAAGTATATGACGAATTCTCAGCAAAATGTACTATTATGAAGCTCTGCTCTCAGCTCAAGTATTTTTCTTCAGCAACCTAAACTGGCAAGGTTTATGCTAGCAAACACAACTCTCTCATGATTACCAACGCTAAGAATTTGTAATTTTTAAAAAAAATTATATAGAAAGGGCAGGATATTCAAACTGGGCGCTACACACTTGGTGCGTGATATTAGCCCATGAGCAATCCAAATACCGTGCGATTATTTTGATAGATCTTCTACCCAAGGGTCCAGAAAATGCCTTTTTCAGGCTTCGGTTTGTCAAAACTTATCTATATTTAAGCGCGCTGGCGTTTTGGACTTGTTTTGACCACATTTTTGAACTGGCAAAAGTTACTAAAATGAATTCCAATAAATCAGTTAGAAACACATATTTTAAAATAATAAATACATTTTTCGCCCCGTGTGGAGAACAAAGCTAATCATTCTAGGAAAGCCTAGTACTTGTTTTCAAATCCATTTATCATCAAGCATAGTATACATAGTATACATAGCATACAATTTCAATAAGGTTTTTACGAAATAAAAATTATAAAATTTACATTGCAGTTATTTACACAAGGCCCGAAGACATTCAATATATAATCGGTTATTTTTGTTTAAGTTAATATTGAAATAATGTCCTCTGCCACCAAAATGGATAAGGCCATGCTTGTCGAGTTCAGCGCCTCTTACATGTTTTACATTGAGAAGCACAAGCTGTTGGATATCATGAGTCGCCTCTTGGCGGAAGCGACATTGCAGAACATTGTGAACGTGCGTCGCTGGCTGGGCGAGAACATACGGCACGTAGCCCAAGAGATCTACACGAAGGCTATGAATGCATTTCATCTGGATGTAGCTGGAGACTTCTATCAGCTGCCGAAGAACTTCTTTCATCGTATTGTGCTGCATGGACGAGCCGGCTCGGGCCGGCGCTCGCTGGCCCATGTGCTGGCGCAGCGCTGGAATCTGCTCATAATAGATGCTAATGTCCTAGCCTATCATCACATCAATGGATCAGTGAGGAATAAGAATGAGAAACTGCTGAATCAGGGCATAGAACACTTTTCCGTTTATGAAATTTCGGAAGCCGTGGGCAACATTTTACAGGAGCGTTTGCTCAAGGAGGATGCACTGCATCGTGGCTGGATATTGATCAACTATCCGCACAATCGCTGCGAGGCACGCGAGCTCTTCGAGGGCTTCACCGTGCCGCCCAATCGCCTGGTCTTCCTTCAGATTGACGAGCAAATGGCACGCATGCGCCTGCTGATGCGTACCTATAGGCCCAGTCCGCAGGATAACATCACCTATCTGGACTATCAGATGCAGCAGTACCGGAAGAGTGAACCCGCGTTAAATGCCTATCTCAGCCATCGTCGCGAGGTTCTCTATGTGGATGCCACCGAGTGCTTCGAGACCGTCAAGTGCCGCATTATGTCGCAGCTGACCAAGACGCCCTATGTCCTGGGCCAAAAGTACGGCGAGAATAGTGCCCTCGACTGAATGGCTCCGATTACAATCTCTATTTCCACATAAATTATTAAATGTTACGCGCCACAAGCTCGCCTCGAAGACTGAACAAAAAAAAGCCGTGTTCCATAATTTTGTATGTCATTGCTTTGATTATTATTTACTCAAGTGGATGCTGTGGTTGTTGTTGTTATCGATGTGGTGGTTATTGTTGTTGTTGTTGTTCCTGTGGTTGGGGCTCAAAATGCTGTGCTTATCAGCTTTCTTTTGCCCGGGAACCGAAGCCTCGTTTAGAATTTCGAGCAGCCCCACAAAAGCGTAAGCATTTTTCGTTTAGGTAAACAAAAAAAAAACCAAGAGAAAAGTGATTTGAAATTATTGCTATTTGAATTTTCCACCACTGAGAGAAAACCTAACACAATACAACAACCAAAAATGTAGAAAAAACAATAAAAAGAAAAACAAATGATTTTATGACCACAACTTAAGTGCTCAATTTTTAATTGTTTGACGACGCTGATAAGTAGCCGAGACAGAAATGGGCGACTGACGGCAGTTGGAGGTTGTGGGCGGGGTTAGGTGGCTGCTTTTATGGCACCCAAAAGTTCAATCAAAGTTTTTTACTCCCTGTTGATTTAACGCTGCCCGCCGCTGGGCCTTGGGCGCATTTCATTAGCCTCGCAGGTTGATGGCCATGACGCAATATTCGTCCCATTCCCAATGCCCCAGTGTACCATAAGCTAAATGAGGGACAAAGCCCAGAAATAATTAAAAACAACAAAAAAACGCACATAATTGTTGAGAGCAAAAAACTGCATTTTATTGCACCACATGGCACTGGGATTAGCATTAACGCACCACCTTGATGTCATGGGTGAAGCAGCAGCGTTTGGAGGTGACGGGATCCTTCAGGGCCCAGCGTATGGTATAGGGGCTTAGGGGGAACTTTGCCTCAATGGGTACAGTCAGTGTGTAGGTTTGCTGAACGCCAGCCCTAACCGGGCAGGTGGTCGATTTGCAGGCCTCACGATCCATGGTAACCAAAGGCAGCTCCTCCGTTTCACTTTTCGCCCAGCCCAAAGAGGCCTCCAGACGGTCTGCATCGAACTTCGGCGTAAACTCGAAGGATATCGTGGACGGACGGCGACGGCGTATATGGCAGGGAGCGTTTTGTTCCGCCTGCGTGCACGGCTCCACCCGCACCTGATCAATGGTGCACGTATCCACACTATCCGCGCAGGGATGGAAGTTAACAACCTCAGCGTTGACCAGTGCAGCCAGCAGAAGCAACAGCAACGGCAGCGATACCGTAGAGAGATGCAACATGGCGAGTTGAGTGTTGGAAACTGAATGCGCTGTTCGGATGAGCTCACAATTTGTACTTAACCCAGGCCCACGAGCTGCCTAGGACGTCTTATCACCCGGTCATAGGTGAACTGTGAATTGTGAGCGTCACTGATAAGCGCTCTTATGCACGTCCCGTGGATAGATAAGACTGACTGAGATAAGAACTCGAGCATATGCCACTCAACTTAGCTGTGTCTAAGGTAGCTTAACTAATTGCCCCAGCCACAACTCTTCATTAGCATTCAGACATGAATATATGTTTGTCGATAGGCTGACAAGCACTCAAACGTTTGTCAGAGGTACACTACTCAACATGTATTTGAATAAGTACAGCTGAAGTATACGCCTTAATCTCAAGATATACGGACATAAAGTCCGAGTTTTAGTCATTTAAGTTTTAATTTAATTGTAATATCCCCAGTATATTCAGTCCGATTTTAATAACGTAACTATTTGGGCTGATTGGCATTAAAAATTGTCATAAACAATTTTTGCATAGTGACGATTACATACTAATTTTCTTTAAGCATTACATGCGATACTCAAGTAAACAAATTTTGGATTTTCATAGAGTTTTTTGAACACACAGAGGGTTAATAATTCAAAAATCGCACTTAATTTTAATTTAATGTTTTAAAAGCTTGAATTTTAAAATATTTTGACTTGAATTAGTCAGGACTTTCGATTAGCATTCAAAATTATCACTTCTATATTTAGATCATCAAAGTTTTTGCGATAATGGGATCGATTCACACTGTTTGCGAAAATGAAATCGATTCTAAAATAAAAAATGTTTGATAAAAATATATTCGAGAGTTTCGCAAGAATAAAAGGAAAAGGACCAAGTTTATTTGCCGTTGCATATTAACATAAAGAAATATCGCCCTCCTATACGATTCTCATGGTTGCAAGTAAAACTTAGGGGTTTTCATACTTTAATTTTTATTGTTATATTAACGAGTTGTATGGGCAACATAATACAATTTCGTTCCTATATATATGTTAGTTAGTATGTAGTTAGTTAGTATTGTATTAGAATTAGCGCACCACCTTGATGTCATGGGTGAAGCAGCAGCGTTTGGAGGTGACGGGATCCGTCAGGGCCCAGCGTATGGTATAGGCGCTTAGGGGGAACTTGGCCTCAACGGGCGCTGTCAGTGTGTAGGTTTGCTGAACGCCAGCCCTAACCGGACAGCTAGTCGCCTTGCAGGCCTCACGATCCATGGTAACCAAAGGCAGCTCCTCCGTTTCACTTTTCACCCAGCCCAAGGTGGCCTCCAGACGGTCTGCATCGAACTTGGGCGTAAACTCGAAAGATATCTTGGACGGATGGCGTCTACGTATGTGGCAGGCAGCGTTTCGTTCCGCCTGAACGCACGGTTCCACCCGCACCTGATCAATGGTGCACGTATCCAAGCTATCCGCACATTGCTGGAAGTTGACAACCTCAGCGTTGGCCAGCGCGGCGAGCAGCAGCAACAGCAACGGCAGCGACACCGTAGAGAGATGCAACATGGTGCTTTGAGTGTTGGGAACAGAATGCACTGTGCGGATGAGCTCACAATTTTATACATAACCCAGGCCAACGGGCTGCATGCATAGTCTTTTCGCAAGATCATAGGTGAAATGTGAGCGTTACTGATAAGCGCTCTGATGCAAGTCGCGTGGAGAGATAAGACTTGACTCAGTTAAGAACTCTTACTCGTGCCTCGCTCAACTAAGCTATGTATGTCCAAGGTAGCTTAACTAATTGCCCCAGCAACAACTATTCATTAGCATTCAGACACGATTAGTTGTTTGTCAACAAGCCTACAAACAGTCACACGTTTGCCAGAGGTACACTACTCAACATTGATTTGAAAAGGATATACATCACAATTTTTGGCGAAAATGAAATCGATTCTGAACTTAAAAATGCATGATTTCAATATATTCTAAAAATTTTCATGAGTAGGGAACGTTGCACATTAACATAAAGAAATATCAGCTTATTATGCGATTCTCACGATTGCAAGTAAACCTTACAGGTTTTCTTCCGTTGATATTTAGTGTTATATTAACAGAGTTGTGCATGTGCATATGTATGACTGTATATTTGTATGTATGTATGTATATGAATGTGTGTCTGTATATGCATAGTTACAAATAAGAATATATTCCAAAGCAATCAGAACTGAACATCTTCTAGAAGCAAATAAAATCAATCTTTGATTCATTAAAAATGTCGATTTGTTGTAGAGTGTAAACAACTCTTCCAAGGCAAGTAGAACTGAGCATATTCTAGTAGCAAATAAAAGCAATCTTGGATTCATTAAAAATGTCGATTTGTTGTAGAGTGTAAACAACTCTGCCCGTGCTCCCAAATGGCACATGTATCGACACGCTATCAGGCAGACTACTTGGGGCAATGTTCAGCTAGTTCAACAGATACACAGTGAGGCTCACAGACAGTTGGACAGACTAAACAGACGAATAGTTGTCAGTCACAAGCTGCGCGCACGTCGGAAATTTGAGACGATTCCCGCGAGAGGAGTGCACTTCAATCTTGAATGCATCGACTAGAATGAAGCGCAGTTCGGAGCCTGTCAATATGCCAGGCCACGACGACAATTGCACGGCTCATTTGCGGGCACATATGTCAACAGGCGGCAATAGTAACAACGACAACAGCAACAACAACGACAACAGCAACAACATTTCTAACAAATTTGACTAAAAAGTGACAACATTTCAGAAAAGAACCCGACCCCGACACGCTTTAACAACACTTACGACTCGATGTCGCAATTTGATGCTATATTTTTATCATGCCCAAAGGAGGCAATTAAATGAGAAAAATATATCACATTCATTTTCGGATGCAAAACATGTTTTTTAGCGCTAAAATACAAACAAGTTTCTCTCTCTCTCTTTAAAAAAAAAAACAGCATCAACAAAAATTGATAGAAAAGTTTTGCGGCGAGCGCATAATTAACAGTCGTTCAGTCAAAGTTTGATGAAAACACGTTTTCCGCTTTCCTCAGCGTTTTATATACATCTTGTTTTTATAATAAATTTCGCATAAATTATAAAATTTTTTAACATTTTCCCTTTTCCCCGTTGCGTTGCGTTGGCCTTTTTATCGCCAACGACTTTGCGCCTTTATCAAAGTCCACTGAACGGTGAATCAACAAAACCGAAAAAAAGCAAAGCCAAAACAGAATTAATTCATTAAAAAAATATGCAAAGCATTAAAAAAAAATTACCAAGAACTCGCTGATGGGGTGCCAAAGAACAAAATACAAAAACACAACAAAAAACTGGAAAAAAAATGAAATTTATGTTTTATTACTTAATGAACTTACCGCAAATTAAGCCAAGGGTGGACCAAAAGAACACAGCCGAGTCCAAGTTAGCGGCCGACGCCTTGTCTTCAATTAATATGCAAAAAATGTCAACACCAACGGCTGCTGCTCATCAAGTTCTTGAGCCGCGGGAAAGTGTGTCCGGCAGTTGTGTGATGTGATGAAAGCAAATTGGTTGGCAATTAATGACAAGTTCTTTTAATTGAACACGTGATGAAGGCGCTGGCCAAGGCGTGAAAAGGGTTAATCAAGTGTAGCATATTACTCTCTTTCAAATACAAAACAAATTTGTCAAACTGGTCGATCTTAAACCAAGAATATACCAAATTATATACAGGTAACGTGCTTTTCAAATTTTAGCAGTTGATCCCAGTTGATTTCAAATTTAGGCTACATAGCTTTCTAGAATTAGACAGCCTAAAGAGCTCTTTTATATTATTTTTATTTG